TTGATAATACACTTATCCTACTATCGCTATAACATCATTGCTCTTGCGGCAAAGTTAATGTTTCTCATCTGAGAAACTCAATTACTTGTCAAAGCTATATACTTCAGCGCGACGTTAAGTTCTTTTTATTATTTCTATGGTTAATGGCTTTACGTTCAACCAACGTTCTACTAACATATTATTACTTGCTGTTTCTCGATCAGTTTCTGCCGCCTCGTTTCCATTTGTTTTGCAGTTCGGCAATACCCAGAGGATTCATATTAATCCTTTGGCAATCTCCGGCGCGCGACTACCGACATGTTTGGTACCGATTCAAACGGCCGTTGAATCTGGTGGGGGAGTATTTTGCAGGTTTCTTTGACTAGATCTAAATTACTCGACAATCGATAGTTAAGATCGGTTTTTATTAATTCACTTTGTCGGTGAATGATCCTGAACTGTCAACAATAGTCTTATTTCAATGAACTCAATCTAACAACATTTAGCCGTTGTTTGCTGTCATTTCTTCCTTATATGCTGCAAATATTTGTTGGTTGATTTCATTCTTGATTCTAAAAATCAGTTGTTTTTTTCTACACACCTAAAGATATTTTTTGTGTTGTTCTCTGCGAGCTCATTAAACAATTTTAATGGCGCAAACTAAACATCGTTGTGGTAAATCTACATGTATTTCTCTGATCGACGATGAAATGCAATGAGACAACTGAAATATAATATCACATAGTATGCACCAGACCCACGCTTGGTAAACATAGAAGGTGGTTCAAACCAATACCGCGTACGTACGACAAAGTGTCTACTCAGGACATGAAATAAGATTGTTCGAGTACATGCAATATGTTTTACCACAGTATGTCGATTAACGAGTCACAAATGTACATGATTTTGACTAACACTTAACGGAGGTGACAGAATATATGACTACTTAACATGAAAGCAACTATGAAATGTTATTACGCATCATAAAGATAGTACGAAATAATCTAATGATTTTATGAAACTCGCCTGGGTTACTCTTGCTTCCAAGTAATGAAGATACGAAGTGGACAGTAGTTGAAATCTGGATTATATACGAAGTACTGTTGATTAGATTCTTCGATTAACACAGCGTTGTAGACTGAATTAGTACAAGTCCAGAATAAATTCAAGCCAAATACGTAGCATTGCCTGACGAACAGTCTAACCGAGATCTAAGATTGCAGAACATTTATAGTTCGAACTCACCGTAAATTTCTAGTATTTGTATCCTCTGTTTGGCCATGGAACTCGGCAATTGAAAATTAGGCAGGTGGTGGTCAAAAATAGAAATATTCTAGTGGATAGAGGTTAAGCAGGAAGACGAATTTAAAGTCGACAGTTAATCTTTTCTCGCATAAACTATTGGATAAGTTACAAACCGATGTGCGTTCGTGTTGCCTTGTGGCTATACCCACGAGTGGTTGATATTTTAACAGACATATTACACAGGAGCATTTACATGCTGCTAATGCTTGTTAAAGAACCACGATAGAAGATTATAACCGTAGTTGACTAGTTAGTTCTACCTACTGAACTAGTTATTTGAGTTTAAATACTAAACAACATTGACATGAAGCAACGAAAGTTCACAGTAACAGATTAACATAGGCGATGATAAAAATGGAAAAGAATAAGTATAGATTGCAATAATAAAGACTATAATGATAGGTCGCGTCATTCGCAGTCTTGTTCACCAGTGTAGATCACCAGCGTGGATGATCTATGTCAAAATGATTGTAGGCTTACTCAAGTTAGACGTGAGTGGTGTGACAAACTAGCTAACGTCGAAGTCACACTTCGCGGTCTGCACCTTACATAGATTACCCCATTGACGTATCAAGGTACTATAGATGCTTTGAAGACTGTACAACACAGAGGACGTTATTACAGAAATATATTAGTTAAAGTAGATACAAGCGAAGGTAAGACCACTGCCGCATGAGCCAGTCCATGGCGTACGATTAGCTGATGCGCGTTGGTTTTCCTTGACATTGACGAGGATTGATGATTTTGTTCGATATTCAATGGCTAGGGCTCAGTGGAATTTCAATGGCCCTACACTATATTTCATTCGTTATTTATCTTATATAAAAGGTGATCAATACTTGGATGTCTTTTTGCTAACGATAATCTTAGACCACATCGCGATTGTCTCCTCATTTTTACTATCTATCCCCATTTCGTGTCTTAAAACATTCTCCCAATCTGTTCCGTAACCCCTTTCTATCAAAACTGGTACACAGTGGATCAGTATATGTTAGTTATATACATAACTATAAATAGGAATGCACAGCTTAAGTAAATGGCTTCGTTGAAAAGAAAACTTTCACCGCTGAATTCTCTTTATTTTTATTACATGAAATTAAATGAGGAATTATATTAAATGATCTGTCCGTTTATTATATTCGTCATTATTATGTCAAATATCCCAACACTACTCCAAACCGTATTCATTTTATCTGGTTACTTCTGTGCTTTGCCTTACCTGGGAGAACATAAAGTTTTGTACATAAATATACGGATATCTTTTCGTTACAATGCAGGTAAGTTTCCGAATCGGTTTTCTGTCATTTATACTGATTAAAAAGTTTTTTAAAAACCCTGGATTAATCGGTATTAAAAATATTCCCTTCCGTATCTGAGAACCAATTCTTGAACTATGATTCCAAGGAACAATCACTTATCATAGTATCTCGATTAAATCTCTCTTTGTAAGTGACCTCAAAGTATTTCATATCCTCTTTCGTATCGAAAACACTGTTAAGCCACTTATAATCAGAAAAGGTAAGTCGAAAATTCAAGTGCCGAAATTCACAGAATATATTATTTCTAGTACATTTGAAAAGCAATTCAATTGCGAACGGCCATGTAATGTCCAAAACCTGAAGTATTCGTATAAAATATTCTCAATGAATCTTTGTTTATTCAAACAAACAGTGCGAGTTTTTCCCTTTTCTCATAAAACTTCAAGGGCATTGTCAATTCTTCTGGAACAGTATCTGCCTAAATAATACTATGAGTGCATAACAACTGCTGTCCTGTATAAAGGTTATATGTGTTCACAGTAGCACCGAAGAAAGCTTTTCACTGGCAAAGTAGTCACCGTCAGTAGACATCAGATTGATTTTAGACTGATGGTAAAAACTCTCCATCATTCCATTTTCGTCCTGATGATGCCCAGTTGTTCTTGTTCTTATAGTGGTGAAAATGTTTGTAAGTAGTTGTAATAGTTCACTTTTAAACTGCTAACCCGTTCGGTTATGATAGTTACCAGGATTCTAGAATTCTATGCCCAAGGTCTAACAGATTGTCCAGCGACTACATTTCTTAATGAAATAGCTATTGTCCATTTGGTAAGTTTTTTGATTAAAGCTAATATATGCGTGTATTTATTTTGAGGTAAAAACGGTCGGACGGTGTCGATGTGTGGGTGGTCGGGTATGGCATCCCACGTAGGAAATACCCATAGAGGCGATATCCTGTGTTACTCAACTTCCAATGTCTTTCATTATGAGCAGTCTCTTGGTCATCATCGTACACATATCAGCTCTCATCCTGATTTCTCTATAGACTACATGATGACCAAAATGAAGTACACATGCACAACATTTTCACGTTGTTACGGCGATGTTCTTGCATACTATCACTATTCTCAGGTCTAAGATTTACTGAAACAAAAAGTTTTAAAAAGTTGTAAAGAATTTTCATGAGTTTTGAAATGGGAGAAAATGTGTGTAATTCGGATCTGATATTTCCTCTTAGGTGTTTATTTTAAGCCATAACAACGGCATTCAAATATGCGCGAACTATCTCAAGCTTAAAAGTCGGAACTTGGAAATGAATAAATAGCAAGTTTATCATCTGTAGTTGTTACAATCTGCTTGCACAGAAGTTAATACTTCTTGTATATATGACTTTTTATTATAATCTGCTAATAATCCCTTATAATACTTAACAACCATTATAATTCTAGTACGCCAGTTAGTCTAAAATCAAATATAGAATCTAAGCTCATATCTTCCCGCCAATTAATTCTAAACAATAAATTGTTGATCACAGTATTATTTACATCTAAATTGAAATTGATATAGTCCATGTGACTACCGATAAATTTATTACAATATACATCTAATAACACTGTTTCATCAATACAAAATTTTCATTTACTCATGAAACATAATTAGGGTTATTGAAAATATTAATGGATTATCATTAATCAAATTCTAATAAAAGTAAAATCATTTGATTTCTATTATATCGCGAAAAAAAAAAACAATTTAATTACATAAAAACATACTACTAATATATTGTAGTGTCGGTGATTATGTTCAGCCCATATACCTTGTTCTAGCTTTCGGACAAACCAATCTATTCATTCTACTTGAGTCACATTCTGACCTTGTTAATTATTCGCTTATCAATCTTGACTGCTTATTATGTGAGCGCATATATATGTGTGTACATTTCTTATCCCATTATTCATCACATGTCTGTAACTTATTTTTGTGTGTTTGATTAACGCTTGACTAAATGGAGTTGGCTTACCCGCCATCTCCACTGTGCGTTGTTTCGCTCCGCTCTACTCCATTCGCTTCATATACAAAATATATGTATTCAAAAATTCATTCTCGTTATTTGACTTATTTAATTCCGTTATTGACTAACGCGATTTAAGTCGATGCTTATATACGAGGATAGGCGACATTTACATTTCGACAGCAATCATTCAATAACAATCATTCATACGATCTACTTGGAGTCAGATCTTGAGTCACTAAAGTGGAGAGGTCGTTAACAGACATCGTCCGATCTAAATGACAACAAAATTAAGGGCCCCACAATATATCTATGTATTACTTTTATTTAAAACGTAATGATCTAAAGTACATACATTAAATATTTTTTTTTAAAAAAAGCAAATATTTGGACAATGCGATAATAATAATAATAACAATACTAATAATAATAATAATAATAATAATAATAATAATAATAATAATAATAAAGAACATTGTACAAATTTTGAATTTTATTTTAATTTTAATGATAGAATTCAATAATAACAAAATAATACTTATTTTATTTTATTTTTTATTCATATTCAGTTTTAAAATTGTTTGTTATTTTGTTTAATTAAAATAATAAGAAAAACAGAGAGAGAGAGAAGAAAAATACTTTTTTCAACTATTTTATTATTCTCCTCTAATATGTAAAAAATGATCCACATGTAGTGGGGGTGGGTGCAGGTGTGGGTTTATATTATTGTTTGATTATTGACTGTAAAAAAAAATAATTTTGAATACAAATCAGTTACCATGCTAATCAAACAATTATACATTTTAATAATGATTAGATATAAAATATAGTGAGGTAATATTAAACATTCATTTATCCATTTGTTGTTATATATAATTAATTTGTTAGAAAACTTTTGAAAAATAAATCCCAATATAATTTTAACTTTTTTTTCTTTTGAGTCATATGAAATGAAGAAATAGTAATAATGGAAGCATATTCAGCTTTACTGGAACATTGTCCTTATATATATAGAAATGTATTAAAAATGTATTCAAATAGTGAGCATTCAATTAATTGATATGTGTAACTACCAACGAAATCTATTTATATATCAGTAAATGGGATATGATTTGTTATCTATGTTAGTACTGTAAAATCAAAACAAAACATATCACAAAATAATTAATGAACATATATTGATTTTTATCAGAAAGGATTTTTATGGATATTATAATAATTTAATAGTTAAATTCATGAGTCAATGAAAGCTAAACCACTATGGAAAACCTGGAAGTGTTGGACAGTCGTTTCGTCAGTAATGTGGGACTTTTTAGATATGCGCATCCACGATCCCGCTCCATGGGATACGAACCCAGGACCTATCGGTCTCGCGCGCGAACGCCTAACCTCTAGACCATTGAGCCGGTATCCAGCGGTGTTATTGTCTAGCTTCAACCAGTTCACGAAATCGAGCCACCGATTTTAAAGTAATGATTATTGTACAAAATGTTACAATATTATCAATTTCAGTTAGGTTAAAAGATTTGTATGAGATATGTTTTTTCCCTTCATAATTTAACTATTCATTGTGCTGAGATAAAAAGATTCAGAACATTAATAATGGTTTCAATTAACTCAAATATTAACATATATAAACGAACAATATTGTTTTCTATTAGATCCTCATATGGCGTTACTCGGTTAACATTAAATGCACGGCCATTTATTAATCTTAAATGAATTTAGGTAGCTTCATCACTTGACCTTTGTCATGGAAATAAGGAATTGAAACAAAAGAATTTAAATCAAATTTTGGGTGGCCCTGAAAAGGGCTTTTACTCGTTCTCTTAACAGTTCCGAATTTCATGAACAAAGGTGTTGCTATGATTCCGTTACAGAGCCGCACATGGGACAGTGGATTGCATAGACAAATAGTGGTGGGTCGCAAGCATAAAATAAATGAAACACTGCTTCGCATGGGCAAAAAATCCAGGCACTTCCATCAGCAGTTTCATGTGGCGGTTGCGCAACATTGCAAATATCACAAAGTCTGTTGTCATACGCGTCCTCGTCATTTTCGTCGTCTCGTTCAGTGAACTCCTCTGAGTTAATCGAAACAATTTCCAACTCGTCATTGCTTAACGTTGCATTTATATCAACGTTATTTTGATAGTTGGTAACTTACAAAAGATGAAGAAAGGATATTGAGTGTTCACGGAAATTCTTTATGAAAAATTATAATAACACTAATCAAATTACCTCCTTCGTCTACTCGGCTGTGAGGAACCGCTAGGTGTTCTACGGCCATTTCTCCAACATACGAATTTAATATACGGCTTTCGATCTCTATGGAAATGAGAATCTCTCACCTCATAATGGCAGTACGTAGCTCTTTCATAAGTTCTAACGGCGCTATTCAAGTGATTGAGACGCTGCGAGATACAATGTGCTCAATAATAGGTTATCGGTTTCTGTGACAACGTGAGGAACGATAGAGCTCGTGTTTTGCACCTTACTACCGCCCGTAATTGGAAGAAAATGTGCTCTGTCGTCATGTCCTGACATTTTATATCAACTTTAAGAAATAAACGACCCATTATAACGAACTCAAAACTAGCTATTTGAATGGACGGAACAGAATGAAAATTATTGGAAGACGGGGATGAAAAATTTTTTCGAATGGGACGAAAAAAAATTTCACTTGAAAAAAAACTGAAAAATGGCCGTGTAATTAATGTTAACCCCATAAGGGAAACTAGTAGGAATACGATAACTAACTTTAAATGACTTATTCCTATTTACTACATGACCGCTATCGATCAAGTGTGATAGAACCGAGCTGCGTATTGTCATAACTACCTTTTCCTAACCACGAAATAAAAGGTACTATGAAGTTACTATCAGTTCGGTTCTATCACACTTGATCGATAGTGGTCATGTAGTAGACAGAAATAGGTCGAGGGCGATTTTTTATTATTTTTAATCATCATACCAACAGTAGAATGAAAATAAGTTCACTAACTTTAATTTTTTCGCAATATTTTTAGTCCATAACAAGGAAGTGTTATCATTCAAACTGGAAGTTGTCATTTGTGTAGATTTATTATTAAGTGATTGTGTTTGGGAATTTATTATTTGTCTGGTATCAGATGGTACATTGATGTTTCTTGAAATAGGTCTACTTGCATGAGATGGAGTTAAAGTAGTTTTTTTGGAACTGCGAGATTCCATAAATGTTTCTGGTTTTGGAATTGAACTCTTGTATGATGATGAATAAGGTGATGTATTTAATCTTTTCCTAATAAATCATAAATATGACGAAAATTCATAAGGAATCAATATAAATTCAAATCGTTTAATATGATTAGTATGAAAAAAGGATAATGATCGTTTATAACGTAGACTCTCAATGAATTGTCGGTTCCATCAGTTTGTGTTATTTTAGTTCATAGTCAGTAACGGTTTCAGTAAAACTATGCACAAATGAACAGAGATCAAAACGATTTCAGTGGTAAGGATGGATATATACCATTTATTTGAAGATTCTATGAACCTTTGAGTTTTAAGTATCATTTCTGACAATATTTTGAATATCGATATATATTATCACAGACTTATTATCAGTTATGAAATAATTGAAAACCAGAAGACCTTAAACGGTCATTTTATTCTAGATTGAAGTAATCCCACAGTGAGCACCTACAACTATGCACAGAATCAAACATATAATCATTAAGTCTTTAAACGGAGTAAGACAACACATAAATTACTGAGTAATTGCTTTAACTATACCAAAATGATTACTAATTAGAAGTTCAGGAATTCCTTTTAAAGCTAATCAGAGATGAGGACATGATTATTGCATAACTGAGTGGTTATAACTCATAGTATTGTCCAGTGTTTGTGCCATATTACTTATTAACTGAAATCAGAATTGTGAACACTTGGATCTCTGTTCAATTTATTACTGGTCACTAGGTAACTGGTGAGATCAGTGAAGCACACAGGAAGTCTTTAACTAAGACGAAATATTTGTTCAGTGTTTTTCGCTTTTCAATGATTCCTGTAGATGATAACAGCTTGTGACAAAAGTAGTTTCAGGTTATACCATTACAAGACATTCAAATAAATAACGGTATACAGTCAAATAAAATAGTTTTCTGATTATTCTACACATTTTGAACACACCTCTTGGTAGTTATTACAGTGACAACTTTCTTGTTACATGTTTGCATTAGATCTTGTCTATTAACTAGATATAATCTCGGTTTCAACTCTCAATCAATCACAAGCTCTGAAATGGCACTGTAGTCAAAGTTACCATCAATATTTCTTCTATGCAAGAGAGATATACTAGAGTTGAAATCCATTTCGTAAGACTCAAAAGTACCCACAATCAGGCTTTTCATTCGAAATGACAACAATCAATCAAGTATCTAAATATAACCACCATTAGTATCAAGAAACTAATCTATCAAGCTCTCTGAAGAAACTATAAATATCAAATCATAATCTGAATTATAAAATTTACCATAAAATTTTATTCATTTCAACTGATGAATTTCATACTTAAAATAAATAATATAATATAAAATCTTGAAACAAAAATCTTCCTTAAGAAAAGAAAAGAACTTACTTTGATGGAGTTTTTTTCTCTGAGCTGGATGGTTTTTTCATGGGGCTTTCACCATTTTTCTGAACGACATCATCAGAACAAACTTCAGATAGAAGTGAAGCGTTCGAATTTATCCACATATGGTTCACAACTTGTCCTGTAGACCTCCATGTTGATAGGTTCTTGTTGACCTTAAACCTGTCATTGTTTACTTCTTTGTTTTGATTTTATATCCCATTTGTTTGATCTTTGTTTGTGCATATTTTTCCTAATTGGTTGATAAATTGGATCAATTTCAATGTGCTTGTTGATTGCTGATTGACGTGAGTGCCAAGCTTCTGAAAATTCTCTGACGTTTTTGAAATTTCTTCCGTCAAAGATTTCCACATTTTCCCAGTCAAATGATTGTCCGCAGTTGTCCACGTGCATTGATATAAGTGAAGAAATGTCATGGTATTTGATTGCTAATTGATGTTCATGCAGGCGAAGATGAATAGGGCGTCCATGTTGTCTGATGTCGTGTTTTTCGTAATTGGCACAATTTACTTTATAGACGAATATCAGAAGGGGTTTTATGGAGATTTTTAGAAAATCCAATGGTTGAAATCATGAGTCAATTGAAGCTAGACCACCATGGAAAACATGGAAGCACTGGAAGGCCGTTTCCTCTTAGTATGAGACTCCTCAGCAATGAGCAACCACGATCCCGCCTCTCCGCGAGATACGAACCCAGGGCCTATCAGTCTCGTGCGCGAACGCTAATGTTTGTTTTCTTTTGTCTTCTTCATCTTTTGGTTTGTTGATGATGTCGATCAGAATAACGATGAAAATTCCACGACCAAATCCAACCAACTTAAAGAACAAAACTCCATCAAAATAATCTACCTAAGCTATAAATCTCCATGATCTCAAAAAAAAACTTACTGTTCATTGTTTAATTCATCTTTCAATTGTAACTGTATACAAGGTTTAGATGTTGTATACTGTAATAAATCATTTTTATAATAATGAGATGATATTAAATCAATCGGTTGTTTATTATCATATGAATAAGATGAAATTTTCATATCATCATTACACCGATTTGGTATATCATCAAATGAAGATTTACAATATTTATTAATAATTGATTGTTTATTTATTTGAACTATTGGATAATAATTAGATGAAGGTAAATTTCTTCGAATTGATTCAGTTGATATTCTTTGTTGTAAAGTATTATTTGATAGTTGATTAGAAGAAGAAGTAATTGTGTTTGAAGGTATAGAATAATTTCTTTGATCAATCAAATAACTAGTTTAATAAATTTTAAAAAAATAATAATTTCAAATTTGGTTCGTTTTGTACTTCTTTATTTTTTTTACTTTACATTTTAGTAAAACAAAAATATTAAAAAAGAAGAGAATATCACTAGAATTCATGTTAACGACAATAAATAATTAACAACATACATGAATTAATGATTAATTTCCACTAATTATGATAATGTTGATTAGTAGTCAACATTTTAATATGTCGCTTTAAAATGAATGTACTACATTGAAATTTAAAAAAATAAAACGTAATTAACAACAAAATATTGCATGCATAACAACAAATAAGTTACCCCCCCCGATGATCATCATCATCGATAACGTGATGTATCGAAGAGAGAAAAGAAAATGAGAAAATAAGCATTAAAAAGAAAATCAAATGGATAATAAATATTTCAAAATGGGAGTATATACAACTGTATACGTTTTTCAGCTAAACTAATATACATGTATAACATTCGTTGTTATACAATGATGTAAACAGTTTTAAATTATAGTCTATTATTTAGTAAACGGAACACACATCAAGATATTAAATAAGAAAGATTAGTTCAGTGAAGAGTTCTACCCTTTTCGGTGAATTCCTTTTCAAAGCTGTACAATCGTAAATATATAATAATACTAGTAATAAACATCTGTTAGACATGGTGACAGTGAGGTATAATAAACAAAGGTATTAAAGAAAACTTTTTCATTAACCAGGGAAACTAATAATCGTTTGATTTTTAATGAAGAATATTTGAGCGAACAATTGTTTTCAATAACTTCATCATCAGGCTCTACAGTTATACGTCCATAGTTATAATATTTTACAAAGGCCAAAAATAAGGCATGTATTAATGAAATTTGACACTGTTGTGTTAAAAAATTGGTGCACTTTTGCATCTGTTACGATATATATATATACTTCAAAATGGTATTATTTGCAAATGAGAAAGGTCATTCAATAAAAATTTTTTAACACATAACATTGTCAAATTTCATTAATACATGCCTTATTTTTGGCCTTTGTAAAATATCACAATAATTATGGACTTATAACTGTAGAGCCTGATGATGAAGTTATTGAAAACAATTGTTCGCTCAAATATTCTTTATTTTTGAATATTCTATGGGGATTTTTAAACTGATTTTTAATGGTTCAAATATTCATCGACAGATAGATAGGGAAATTATCATTGGGAAATAATGGCTCAGCATGATAAGATAAAATGTTGAAATTGAAATTGAAAGTAATCAAGAGGACCATAGAAACAAAAATAAACCAGTTGGGGGTAGAAGATTTAAGGAGCGGATGGAAGGGGAAGCAAATGCCTATAAAGGAAGAAGAGTATGAAAACGAAATTCGAAGACATTAAAACCATAGTAGAAGAAGAGGTTGTACCAATCTCTTTTGCACACACAATCATCCTGTAAAATAAGTATATATATTTGCGATTGTACAGCTTTGGAAATGGATTGGTCGGAAAAAGTACTCTTCACTGAACTAATCGTTCTTATATAATCTACTATCTTGAATTTATAATTATGTTGATGTTTTTTGAAGGAATCAAGTATTTTCAAATTACATTGCTAAACAGTTAAACAGGCTTTTCACTTAATTACAATAGATATTTTTGGTTGTTTTATTGATAATGAATGACAAATTTTTGTAATTTGTTGAGATAGGATAAAACATTTAACGATGACAAATGATGAAGATCTTAGTAAATGGAAACATAACTAAGGTTGGTAAATTTCAACAATGTGGCATTAAAAGATGAAAGTGGTTAGAATATACAGAAGAAGGGATAAATAGACTTGCGTAATAAGGTCAAAGTTATAACAAAACACTATCCTAGTTTATACGAATATTCGTCAATATTAGAACGAATAGTTCACAAAAATTGGGCGCCGAGTATAGAGAAGTCATTATAAGTGAAAATTGTATTTGAAATAATCTCAGCGATTAAAATTCAAACAATTCCAACGTTTCGTCTAGCTAACTTATCTGAACTTCTTCAGGGTAATAATCAAAATCAAAATCATCAAAGAAATATATAGCTTTTCAACAATCAAACTAACAATCAAAATTTTAACCGATCAAATTTGGATATTTCTTTGATGATTTCGATTTTGATTACTACCCTGAAGAAGTCCAGACAAGTTAGCTGCACGAAAAGTTGGAATTATTTAAATTTCAATCGCTGAGATTATTTCAAATATAATTTTCACATAGAATCACTATCCTAGTATTTTCAGTGTTTATTAGAGTTTTTAGTAGCATAGGTTATTGGAAACTATGTTGTTCAGGTATTACACTCTCAAACATTTCAAGAAATGACTAATTAGAAAAGATTTTATTGAAGTATAAAATTATTATTATAGTAAGACAATCATATCGTTTTATTTCATAAATTTTACATGTAGGTACATGTAGCCTTCATAAAAGTAGTATATAGTTATGGTACAGAAAATTGTAGGAAAACAATGTTCTTTGCACAAACATTTGCACTCTATTCAATTCATGTTTTAACATAGCATTTATATAAAAAAGAATAAAAGGAACTATATTAAAATAATGAATATTGATATGCATGAAATTCTAACTATTTATAGCCCGTTTCTGTGAATAGATACGGTCAGATAATTAGCCTAGAGTGTGTGCTACAAATATATTAACTGTTTTCACAAGGTTGTATATTCCATCCCTTAACGATAACTAACAAACTTATTCCCTGTAAATTGATGACACGTTTTGTGTACTGACTAACTTTTCAATTTGTAAATTGACTTTGACAAATGTCAGTTACTTCTTTATCTCCAAGTTGTTTGTAAAGGGTGTAGTAAGTGCGCATCCACGACCTCGCATGCGGGACTCGAACTCAGAGCCTTCGACTTATGAATTCAAATATTAAAAATTATCTAAATTTATCAAAGAGCCAAACTGTCTTATATAGTTTTATTTTATATACATCTTATCAATATGCGACTATTTTGCAACTTACACTCTGTATTTGATATGTTTGTTTAAATTTTGGGGACATTGTTGATGACGTAACAAGTGTAAAATCACTAAAAATATAATTGTGGTGATTTAGTAAATGATATCATAGAAAAGAAAATTTACGTCATCGAAACAACTATTACACATTGGTAGTTGGGCCGTGTCACTAATGTGTGACTCTAGAAGAATCAATAAGCTTGACCAACATCAACAGGCCTGAAAGGGGAACTTCGATGAAATAATTTTATATTACTTATTAGTATAACAGGATTCTTTGGGTATTTCAGAACCTAATCTACTCACTTAGTTGAAACAACTGTTCTGTCAAAGTTCCTTTACTTTATTATCAACCGGTCAGTTATAAATGATGTAGGAGTTTTAACCAATGTTCATCGATCCATAAACATATAACAGAAGAAAGTTTTTTTTAAATGCAACGTAATCATCGAAGAAATATACTTTAGTGTCGCTTGTTAAGTTAAGCCAATATATCTCACCTTAGCTTTCGGACAAACCAATCTATTCATTCTACTTGAGTCACATTCTGACCTTGTTAATTTTTCGCTTATCAATCTTGACTGCTTATTATGTGAGCGCATATATATGTGTGTACATTTCTTATCCCATTATTCATCACATGTCTGTAACTTATTTTTGTGTGTTTGATTAACGCTTGACTAAATGGAGTTGGCTTACCCGCCATCTCCACTGTGCGTTGTTTCGCTCCGCTCTACTCCATTCGCTTCATATACAAAATATATGTATTCAAAAATTCATTCTCGTTATTTGACTTATTTAATTCCGTTATTGACTAACGCGATTTAAGTCGATGCTTATATACGAGGATAGGCGACATTTACATTTCGACAGCAATCATTCAATAACAATCATTCATACGATCTACTTGGAGTCAGATCTTGAGTCACTAAAGTGGAGAGGTCGTTAACAGACATCGTCCGATCTAAATGACAACAAAATAAAGAGTCCTACTAAAATACAAATCGAGCACACATAATGTAATGTGCAAAGAGTGTATAAAATTAAGGACAAATGTGAAAGCATTTATGTTATCGGTTATTGGTCAATTCATTATAATTATAATCGTGCAAAATTCATATAAGGAAGTTTGTACTTTTATGTATGGTATAAACCAATGGCTAGTAACTTCATGGACCAATGTTATGTTCTTGATTTGGGCATTTCCAGTTGTTTTTTTTATATTAGTAACTACCGTCACACATAGGAGTAGTTGGTAAGGAAGGAATCTTTGCTAAACTGAAATTACTTAGGATGGTAGACATAACAATAACAGAACCTATTACAAGAAATAAAAACCCTATGAAATCGGATACTTTGTTCAAATAAAAACATTTCTAAACTACTGGTCATTCAGTGACGTAATAAAATAAATAAACATATCACTATACAAAAACAAATACTCACTTCCTTTGAGCATCAATTTCACTAGTGATAACTTCATTTTTCAACTGATTTACTGATTTGGCTAACTCATTAAGTAATTTTGTATGCTTCAATGTTTTAGCTGAACTATGAACAAGTGCTTCCGCTTTCTCTGGTAAAATTGGTATTTTACCACGATACTCTGAATGTGACTATATTCAATGAGTACGTTGCAGAAGAAAAAAAGCAAACAAAGAATAACACAAAAAAAATTAAATTTAATAAAATCATCCAAACAATTATTAATAATTTTAAGCAAAGATGGATAATGGTTAACAGTGGACGAAACGCGCGTCCTCGATTCCACTGCTAGCCACCTGCCATCTTTGCTTAAAATGTTTGTGACTTAAGGCCATATCGAGGCAACCCACGCAGAATGCATATATGCCAACATGAGACTGATCAATTGCAATCCTTAATAACAATGGGAAGGCACAAGTAAGAAAGCAACACCAAGTGAATTCAATTTTCAATAAGTCACTACAAACTACAACTCACTTCAATTATAAAATAATAGAGAAATCTAATTAGTGCGAAAAACAGGCAAATAATAAATTATCAATGTATATAATAGAGTACTATGTCTTATGAATAACTGGTCCATATGTTAACTGTGAAATCACATTGTTTCATAATAAAAATAACTTCTTTTGTAAAAGAACGAATCTTAAGATTAACATATTTTCATATTTCATATCTATAAAAGGTTTACAATCAATCTTAAGTATTCACACTTTCAAACATGTCGTCGGAACTGTATGTATCTGTCAAATCTACTTCTATTCATATAATTGTTGGTACTTGTACAAATGATCTTATTGTTAATATTCAAGACTGAATTTTGATTAGTTTTCATTAGTATATATGAATCCTGATCAAATTGTCTTGATGCAGACATTTTTTTGTAAGTTTTATGGAATAGATGGATTGTAACTAGCGGTGGAATCCAAGATTAGTGTTTCTTTCCATTTGGGACTCGTTAGCTAGATATATGTAGTTACATCTTATTTTTGATGTGAAAAATATGACTAAAACATATGTATATTCAAGTGATAGGTTTCAAATAAGACAAAATAGACATTCTGAATCTAAATGCTAGCCACAAACTATTTAAACTACTTAGTTTGAATGATATTAAAAATTGTAGTTTGTTGTAATCTTTAATCTCTTGTACTGATATCATGAGTTGTGGTAGCATTTACCAATCTATTCGATTTAGAACATAAGTACTTTTATTATCAAGTTCAGTTTACTTCATCACTACCATTCATATCTGCCTATAAATGTGTTAAAAGCAATAAAAATTTGTTATACCTTGAGCCACACTTGACAACATTAATGATAATTGATCAAATGCTTTTCAAGTTTTAAAATTGATAATATGAAATTCACTTGAGCTAAACTAGACCAGGAGAAAAACTCCATTTGATTTCAGACTATCAAAATCGACTAGTAAATATAAAACTTCTAAACACCCATAATAAAAAAACTCAACTCAACAAACTATGTTACCTTAACACTAGAGATTCAATCTTTAAAAGTAAGCTTCTTTATTTCAAGAATTGATAATATAAAGATGAAGCAAAACTTCTACCATTACAATACTCATAAATGAAATCAGCTTTGTGAATTTTAATCTCATTCAACCTGACCTATGTGTTCAAAAGGTGAAGATTATTCATCATTTTTTGCCTTGGTGACAAATACTCTTTTGCTGCATCTTAAAAATTTTTTTTCTTTTTCATTAAACGCTTTCTCGCATTTATTACGTCATTCAGTTTTATTTCAACTATCTTTCAAATCGATAATCTTATTTTATCAACTGAGCTCTCACTATATTCTTATCAATGTTTACTCACTATGTAATCACTTGTTTCTAGCCGTTGGAACTGTTGTCACAATGAATGTTGTAGAATGTTCTTTCACATAAGGTATATATTTACAACATTCAGTCTTTTAATTTTATTTACACCCTTGCTATACTACACGAATATGTCTTAAATATGACGTCGAACCAAACCCTTTCATGTAAGTAATTTAAATCCATTATGTGATGAAGATTTTTAAATACCACAGGTCGTAAGCAGCTGACGAGAACCTACTAAATAAAAATGGATTCATGATATTCTGCTAGAATCTTTGTTCTTGCTTCTTTTCAAAATGATAAAGGGAACTACGTGTATGAAACATCTTATAGTACTCAAAAGCTAAACTAAATATTAGCAAACTTAATGAAGATTGATAAATCTTTTATTTGGATGCATGAATTAGTTTCCTAAGCTCTTCTTGTAACCCCCAGTCTAAATCTGCACGGTAACTTGAACACTAGAGAAAAAGAGCGAAATATGGAAAGAACGCTTTACTCTAAGGTTAGTTTATATACAGAAAGTCGAGAGTATTTACAGCATTTCAGATGGCTTTGGATTTTTGGAAATTCTGGGACCCTTCAAAACATAGTAGCAGGATAGTTGATCATTCAATCACTTTCTAGATGTTTCCGTGAAAATCATATTGAATGCTGATTGGATAAGACGTTTCTTAGCGTTTACACGGCCTCTTCAATCATTCTTTTTTGAGGATTCACTCTTATTAAGTTAATATCTCGTGTTTACCTATATCACTCATCTTGTTATGAGGCATAATAATGAAGTTTCTGAAATAATCAAAAATGAAACTTCAAGAATGTACTTTTTCTATTTCTCCTCCTTTTAATCTAACTTCTACAATATGATCGATTTGATAAAGTAAAAATATATGTGAAATAAATTTCGTTAGCTTAAAATCTAAAGCAATATAGTTAGCTTTATAATAAAGTGAAAACAAAAAAAGTGCTCAATTCATGATCATTAATTTACACGTCGATGGTCATAAGGCCATAATAATCTAGCTATGCCTCTATTTCCACCACTGTTTCTTAATCCATACTCCATACTAGGCATATCCAAATTATTGTTGTCCATAGTGTTTGAATGTATTAAATATTCATTGAATTGATGATGTTGGTCAGCTGGATAACTTTTATGTGTTTGCATAATTTTAGGAATAATTGTCTCCTATGAGAATGTTATAAGTAGATTTGTCAATACATCAAAAAGTAACTTAAAATTTTGAAACAATATAATGAATTTCCTATTGAAGAAAGTGATAGAACTAATTCAGAAACTCAGTTAATACTGCATTGAGCGAGAATAAAAGTGAGAACAATCAATGCATAAGACAAAATATTACAGCACATCTTACTAAAATCTGAGAACCATACAGTAAATACTTCATTTGTAAATCATCAACCAATTATCTCAAACTTGACTGTTCCTTTAGCAAATATCAGTCAATCGTCTCAGAATTCATTGTTCCTCAATTTTCATACCAATTGCTTTCCGTTCCCGTTATTTCACTCCCGACCTTCTGTTGCGAGACATTCAAATCGTCACTATCGTTATGTACTACTCATGTCGATATAAGTAGCACACACCACAATATCTTATCTGTGATAGCCTCTTAAATGTAATATCAAACTACACAATCGAATGAACATCTCTGTACACAATTATATAACATTCCTCTTTCACAGTAAATGAATCTCTTTTCAGTTTTACCACTAAAACAGTTAACTACACAATTTAAAATCTCTTAATATAAAATCAGAAATTTCTTTTCTTTAATCTGAATCCTATTCAAAAAAATTTAATTCAGTTATGTAGAAGATCATAGCTTCTTTGATCGTATAACTATGAAACTTACTTACTGAAGCTTGTTACTCCAAATGGAGAATAGGCCGCCAATCAGCATTATCCAAACTACTCCTTCCTTTATAGTTATATCCAGTTGTTGTTCATTCTTCTCATGTCTATCTCCATTTGTGTGTTCTTTGGTCTTCCACTTCTCCTTTGGCCTTGAGGATTCCATGTAAGAGATAGCCTTGTGATGATGTTCGGTGCTTTCCTCAATGTGCGTCCTATCCGCTCCCAGTGCTTCTTCCTGATTTCTTCCTCCACTGGAATCTGGTTTGTTCTCCCCTTAATAGGTTGTTGCTGACAGTGTCTGGCCAACGGATCCGAATTATATTACGTAGACAACTGTTAGTAAACACGTATCGTCTGGATGATGGATTTCCTAGATCTCCAAGTTTCGACCCCATACAGAACTTTCTTGACATTTGTATTGAAAATCCTGGCCTTGATGTTGGTTGACAGGTGTTTTGAGTTTCAGATGTTCTTCAGTTGTAAATATACTGCTCTCACTTTGCTGATTCACGCCTTCACATCTGCATCAGATCCACTGTGTTCATCAATGATGCTGCCCAGATATGTAAAGATATTTACATCATCCAAATCTTCTCCGTCGAGTGTGATTTGATTGGTGCATGTTGTGTTGTATCAGAGAATCTCGCTTTTTTGTGTATGTTGAGATCTACTGCTGCTGAGGCTGCTGTCACACTGGTCGTCTTCTGCATTTGTTGTTGCGTGTGCAATAGAAGAGCCAGATCATCTGCGAAGTCTAGATCTTCCAGCTGCATCCTAGATGTCCACTGTATCCCATACTTCTTCCTGATCCAGTCGAAACACCATAGTTTATTTTAGTAAACATTAGTATTAAAATAAAATTAATATTAAATAATAATAAAAAAGAAAAGAAAATTAATTTAAACTTACTTCTTCTACAGGTTTTCTCTCATTTTTTTCTTTTTCTACGTGTTTTATTCTTGTTATCGTTTGGTTTAATAAATTTTTAAATTCTGTATTTAATCTATCTAATAATGGATCAGTAATTTGTGAATTATGTTGAATAAGTTCTTGATATATATTCACTAACTGATTTATTTGTTTTTCTTTATCTTTTAATGTATTTAAAAAATCCTAGGTGAAAATTGATAATTGACATAAAATATTCGATAAATAAAGAAAAAAAGAAAAGAGAAGAGAAAAAGCACATGAGGATTGATTTTTCAAAATATTACAGCATTTGAGAAAAAATAAGAGTAGATATCATAGTTACCATGGGAGAATGTATTTGTAGCGTATGAATTTGAGGTAAATTCAACTTTTCACTCATTAATCTGGTCTAAGGAAATATTAGTAATACTGTAATCACAATTGATTGATCATTGGATGGTGCGAAATTTGAATCCCCTAAAATCATCACGCAGTCATGCATCCATGTCACAATATGAGTGAGACTATAATCTACGGACGACTTTTGAGTGACTTTAAATTGACCTTGAGAGTGTCCACTTACCAACGAGGACTAAATGAGAGATCTAAACCAGTGCGATGGATTAGAATTATGATTCACATTTGATGGTTAGGGTTAGCAATTAGATTCAGTGTTTTCATCACGAACTGGCATAAGTTAAAAAGTCAAAACACTCACAATTGATTGATCACTGGGTGTTGATCAATGTCATGTGTGCAAAGTCCTTCTTAGTGCAGATCGAATACTATCGACCAAGTTACAAAAAGCTTCGACTAAATTGATAAGTAAAATGTTGAATTTACTTCAAATTCATTTGTTGAGATTTTATAAATACATTCTTCCTCCTTAATGTCTTACATTAACTCGGCACCCAAATAATGTGAAACTATTCCATCAAATCTAGACGAAAGTTCTTATAGATTTTATAGTTATTTTAAAAATAGTGTTGTGAACGAGAACACAATTGAGAACAATCGAATGTATTTGAACGCAAAATTACAGAACATCTTAGTATAATCTGAGAACCATACAGTAAATAAGTATCATTATCAAGATTTGACGTTGACTGAAATGACATGACATTGACTTGTTCAGAACTGTTTTTTTGATTGATCCCATATAATATTCTTGATTCGTTCCTTCGTACTATTTAAACTTGGATTAATTTTGATTTGTTTGTTTACTCTCTAAAGAGGTGGATTACACTGAGTTACGAAACGCCAGGAAATTTAATCCTTCTACTCATTGGGATATTACAAATATATTAATTTATTCATACACTAAACACTCCATTTGCAAAATGTTAATCAATTTCCTCAAAATTGACTGTTCCTTCTGAAAATGTTAATCAATCGTTTCAAACTTCATTATTCCTCCATTTGCACAGCAATCATTCTCTGTTCTCATTCTCTTTTCTTTGATCTTCTTAACCTTCTGCCTCTAGGTATTTCAATTTCGATTGATGATACATACTACTTATACCTGTTGACATCAGCAGCACCCGTTACGATAGTTATCAGAATAAATTTGGAAGCACATGAAATTATTCATAAACATAGCTCATATGAGAGCAGGGACTAATTATTTGAGTTATTTATATCAACACTAGGAAACTATAAACACTACAAATACTTAACTTAGTGATTTAATAGAGGTGTATTTACACTACCATGTTTCTTGAAAATAACAATCAAAACAAAAGTATATACAAAATATGGTGAAATTTGGATGCAGAATAATCTAGACTACCATGGAAAATCTGGAAGAACTGGATGGTCGTTTAAAAAAATATTTAGCAAAATAATGATTATAAATTTTACTTTAAAATTGATTTATTCTGTTGAGAATTAATTACACTCAATTTAGTGAATCATTTAAACAACTGCTAATATATAAAAACTTTTGAGTTTGACAACTGCTGTCCTTTAAACTTTGTATGATTCTTGCAGTTCACAAATACTTTCTGTTTCCATTTCTGTTTTTTTTCAAATCGATCTTTTTAGCCTTCTGTTGTCAGCTATTCCACTTCTGATTGTTACATATTACCTACATCTGTCAATATAAGTAACATACACAACAGTCTGTCTATATATTCAAGGATGAAACTTCTAATCGTTTACCCTACATCTTTTTAGAAGTATGATGTAACATCGTCCTGTATCTGTATTTAATGAGAGCATTGGTTACGACCTATGAACAATTTTCTGTCCAGATAGAAGTGTACCTGAGGTTTGTATTGATGATAATGTTCAGAAGAAAAATGAAAGCTCCACAATCAAATCATCCAGCTCAAAGAACAAAACTCCACTTAAATTATCCATCTGAGCTACAAACATTATCCATTATCTCACTTGATATTCTCTATCAGTTAATTGAACAAATATAGGGCTCTAGCTTATCCATACCTGCCCATTACTCATTTAAACGGGTGTGTTTGAAAACTCAATGATGGACCTGTTTAATTCTTGTTCCTATCCAAGTGGTTCCACAAAAGCATTTGAAATAATAAACACAAGAATTTATACGTTCTTCTGAAAACAAACGCTAGGGAAACGTTCAGAATCACAGATTCAATCAATTGAGAAGTTACAAACAAACTATACAGTCAGTATGGAAAGTTTAAAAATAAGTTTTCTCCTAAATCATTTATTTATCTTCATTAGTGTCGTGTACAATGGGGATGCTTATACAATTCATCATTTCAAAAGACAGTGAACTGGTTCAAGTCAATAAACTAGTCACCATATCATTTTGAATTTAACGTAATACAGAATTTTTAAAAAAAATCCAAGTGCTGATTAGTTGTCTGTCAGGATATCATCTTCACAAATAATAAATTAATCCTTAAGATGGATAGTGGCTAACAGTGGAATACAAGACTCACATTTCAACCTATTTGAGACTCGTCAACTGGATATACCTGTTAGCCACCATCCAACTTTGCTTATAATACTTATAACTTAAGGCAATATCGAAGCCATCCGCACAGGATGTATATATATATATATAGCAATATGAAACTGATCAATTATAATCCCAGATATCAATGGGAAGATTCAAACAACCAATACAAAATGAATTTAATCCTTCAATCGATCAGTATTATTATCTTTTAATTGTCGTAAAACATACAAAATAAAAAATTTGTAGCTTCATGATCTATACAATCAAAATAAATAAAAAATACATTAACCTGACATTTTAGATCAAAATGAAGAATATAAAACGAAGCTTTTAATTATTATCATTATTAATCACAAACAGATAACGTGCAAATGAATTTAATAATTTCAATACAATATAAGCAGGTTTGAAATGCTGTGCAATATTATAAGCAAATAATGAATAGTGGTTAGCAGTGGAATCCAGTTTGACGCATGTTTCGCCCTATTTAGAACTCGTCAGCTGGATGTACTTGCATCTTAGTTGTGCAATATTGTTTATAGATAATTTAAGGCATATTATAAATTGTAATAGGTATGTATAGGTAACAGTAGGTTTTGGGGGGGGGGTTGCTACACGTATAACATTTATTGGTAAAATATTATCTTACCTTATAAATAGTTGGAAATTTTTGTATAAACTAAATAGAGATGTGAACCAAAGTGATTTTGTTGTTGTTGCTGTGAAATACTTTTAAGTTTTATAGGAAATATCAAGAATAATATTTACATAGTATTCTTTTTACAAAGGAATTCTTATGTCTATCATTCCAAACTACTGATGAAATTCTTTAAACTACTTATAGCGAGACTATAGTTCATGAATGAACCAATTAGGTTTAAGATGAATGGTTTTGGATTTTAGCGCGAAATTTATTCATTCATTCGGTTAAACAGAATTTTGGGATTTTAGTTGATGTCAGTTAGTGATGAAAATCCTAAATCTAATTCTTATCGTTAACCATCAAGTGTAAATCATAATTGTGATTCTTCATACTGGTTTATAATCCTCATTTATTCCTAGTTAGTAGGTGAACGTTTTCACGGTCGATTTAGCATCGCTCAAAGGTTGTCCATCATTTATGGTCTTACTGTATTTATTTGTCATTTAACTCAATATTTACAACAATAGTTGTTGCAATACTCTTGTGGCTGGATACATTTAGGATTAAACTGAATTATCTATGCTAAACAAATATCTCTTGTCAATTCGTGATATAATCTACCAATTGTAAAGCTTTAAAAATATACACTCTAAAATAACAGAAACTGATTACAAATATAGATAACAGTTTATTATATACTTGAATCACCGATTGTTACCATAATCTACTAACTAGTTTTTCAACACAATGGAAAAAGTAAGTATTAAGAATAAACTTACTCTTCTAACGAAAACAAAATATTAAAAAGCATACGTTTTATAAAATGTATTTTGTGATTTACGAATTGTTTAAATGAATCAGATCAATCATAATCAATAGAGACCAATGTTGACTGATTCCTAACAAAAACAGACTGCTACAATTTCGGGTAGAGATAGGTATCTACCTCAGTGCAATGGAAGATGGTCGCTCAATTTCGTGGATTGGTTGAGGTCAGACATTAACACTATTGGGTGCCAACTCAGTGGTCCAATAGGTTAAGCGTTCGCGCGCAAGACTGAAGGCCCTGGGTTCGAATCCCACGAGCGGGATCGTGGATGCGCACTGCTGAGTAGTCCCACAGAACGACGAAATGGTGATCCAGTGCTTCCAAGTTTCCAACGGTGGTCTAACATCAGTCGGTTCATGATCTCGATCAAAAACTGAATAATCTTCACAACCCTTATACTGACAATCTCATCAGTTTAGCGTGTTTGGTAATTAAGATTTAAATTTTATACTGTCAAGAAAAAATTGATCTCATGAAGAAACCAAGAAGTGATGGACAAGTATAAAAATTTGTATATCAAGATTTCAAAATGAAATGCATCAAATAACTTCATTAGATTTTCTTTTCCAATGATGACCATCCTATTGAATTACTTTCCTTCCTGTTGTATATCGACGAGAATAATGATTAGTAACTGTTGGGATCTATTTATGATCTAATACTACACATATAATTTTACTGTGTGATTAAGTAACTATATATAACATATTTCTCTTATTGTAGGCTTTATTTTAACCCAAAGACTATCATTATACGATTTACCATTCTTAAATTATGCCCAGTCTACTAATTACAGTCTCCCACATTCACAGCCACTATTTGGCCTGATCTTGTATAAAAGTTATTTAATATTTCATGGTGTGATGTGGTCCGTTTGGTTTGTATATAAACGGAGTATGTTTGAAAATATAAGATTCATATCACAGAGGCTGCGATTGGTGTTCTGGACTTAACAGACGGGGTTAGGCAGGAAGCAGGACTGGTAAAGACTGTAGACTGCTCGCACGAGTTTTGTGTTATCAGACAAAAAGTTACAAGTTGTAAAACATCCATACTTATTATTCAATTTTTTCAATTGTTTATTTAAACTAAATTTCATGATAAGTTTTTATTCCATTTTTTTATTTATTTGAACATACATTTTGACATAAAGGGGCACCGAATACATATGCGCCACACAAGTCATTTGGTTTGTGTGTGTGCTGTGATACTGCCTGAGTGCCCAAACCGAAAAAGGTGGTTTATTTCAGGGGGCCACACTTAAAGCCTTCGGCCTGAACGTGTAATCCACAAGGCAGTGGAGACGCAGTCCCATGGTAGCCGGTGACAAACAATAGGTTCATACGCTTTATGTTCGCATTGGTTTGGAGTCAAGGTTTTCCAACCGCCCTAGGTGGACCTTCCGTATCCACCAACCCGGTTAACGCAACGGACATTCGCTTTTCGTCCTCTCAATTTTGTAAACAAAACCCCCACCACGAGAAGGTGGTGAGTAGGATTTCCTTGGCAGTGGCTGTATACGTGTGGCCATATGAGCGCATTTCGAGAGGGAGAACTGACTCTCCGCACCCTCGGCTGTACTAGGGCATTTGGGTATTTAAAGAATCTGCAATACCTGCTGAAATCGATATTAAAAATTTCGGATTGATTCACTTATGGGGTAATAAGATACACTACTAATCAGTCTCATATTAATACTGAAAATGTTGACAATTGACCGTGGTCTTCAACGATTGCCTAGAGACTGTTAGTTTATTTTCAAATTGAATGGATTCTTCAATAACCACGGTGATGAAACATGTTTTTGCTTTGCCCAATCATTCTTACAGATCATCAAGAAATACTTCATTGTAACAAAATATTTGCAACAGAATCTTTTTAATTTGAATTATATTAGGGTTTGCTAAAAACTGTTTTTCATTCCCAATGATGAGTAAGACACCAATTTAACAAGCCACATGTATATACAAGCAAAATGCATTTTTCTGATACCACATGAAATTTCCATTAAAAAATTTCTTACTTCAAGTGCTCTACTCTCTTCATCTTCTGGTTGTGTAGATCTTGATCTCAATTCTAATAAATGATGACAAGCTGTCTGACGTTCAGATAACCAGCGGCCAAATATATCACGTTCTTTAACATAATGCTCCCATTTTGTTCGTAATTCACGTAGTTGTTCAGTGTGACATTCAAGCTAATCATTAGAATAGATGGGGTTTAGATAAAAATGAAATATTTAAACCAATAAGTTATTTTGTAAGAGTATTGAGGAACGGAATATTTTTGAGATGGTGAACAAGATTTGTAGATCAGGTGAATGATTTTGTGTTGTGTATTTTATAATTACATTATGATTATACTACTAACTACTTGTCATGAATAAATTTAAAAATTGTCTTATTAAATTAAACGTTGTAAAATTATTTGGGTGTTGGAATATATGGATTTGTTATAACTGTGAGTATTTTTCATGTATGTGATTTCTTCCTAATTATTAATCAAAATGGGTGTACAATCATCAATATATATATGAATGTATTTTCGACTAAGGTCGTCGTCGTCATAGTCGTGTTTTAGGACTAATAAATTATTATTAATAAAATTTTCTACTCTGGAGTTAAGGGTGAGACTATAATTTATGGACGACCTTTGAGCGATGCTAGACTGACCTTGCGAGTGTCCACCTAATAACTAAGACCAAATGAGGGTTATAAGACTGTATGAGGAATCAGAATTATGATTTACAGTTGATGGTTAAGGTTAGATATTAGATTTAGGGTTTTCATCACGAACTGACATCAGCTATAATGCCAAAACTCTATTTAGCCAAATAGATGGATGAATTTCACACCGAAATCCGAGACCTGCAATCTTATATCTGATTGGTTTGTCCATAAATTATGGTCTCGCCGAGTTTTTATCACAGATTAATACTTGAATAAAAGAACAATAAGAGAGATATAGATATGAAATACTTTACGTTTTACTAAGTTTACAACAAAAGTATTATATGAAAGCTTCACGACCAAACCATCCAGCTCAGAGAGCAAAACTCCAACAATAAAGGATTATATACCTTTCTGTTTTCTATATCGATTGCATTTTGCACATGTTTAGCCAATAATTTCACCAAAGTTTGATCGGAACTATTTCCTTTATTATCAGATTTCTTATCGCCTTCTTGTGAAATATAATCGATTTCAACTGAAGACATTCCACATCTGTAATAAATAGTGAAATGGAAAAAAAGACTGAAACTTGTTAAAAAGACAAACCATGGACTATGAAAGAATATAAGCAGAATACAGTAAATTGATTGGGATTTTGATCATTTAATGTTGGTTCATCGGTTTAAAGTTAACGCTCACATTATAAGGTCAGAGAGTCTTAAGCTCAGTCTATGGGTTTACACTTATGGACAGTTCCATTTAAAGATATAACAACTACCTTGTGTTATTTTTCATTGACTGTTTAGGGAAAAACATTATATCGTTTAATCCATTTAGTTGACTAATCTTCACAAGTAGGAAATCATGATACATATCTATATAAAATATATTGAAAATGGCTGGTTATGTTAATTGTTTACTACCTTGTCTTCGTGTTAAGTAGGTTTGAATAACTTAGATTATCTAACTAGCCATGAGTAAATTTTTCGTGTTATGTAATCCATGCTACTAAATTAGCTTATAGAAACAAGATAACGCCAACGTGAAATGGAGTGAACTATCCTACTGTTGATATTTTGACTGTGTTGTGATCAGTCTTCGTGAAGTGGACGTAAACTATATATAAACTTGTTAAAGATGGTTATACTGACACGATTAGCACTGAATGCACATATACTAATTAAGACTGATCAAATTCCAGCCAAAATATTAACAATGGGATAATCCGACCAATTGTAAATTGAGAACATATATAAGCGAACAATATCGTTTTCCATTAGATCCTCGTCAGGCTTTACTCTAATATACAGTAATATTTATGTGCATATACGAAATTATTAAACCAATCAAGGTAGTTTATAAATCAATGATAACGATGAATAAAACGATTACATAATATGTGAAAAGTACAAATTGATAGTGTGATGACAGGTGTACTAGTTTTTATAAGAATAATAAAGGCTCAAATCAATGTTACATAATCGGAAATAGGTCAATGATAAGAAAAATATAGATAAGTCTAAAACAAGACACAACGTGTGGCTTGAATGCTGCTGCTAGCCACAATCCAGCTATTTAATAGATATATAACATTATTAGTATCTGAGTTAATACTCAGGTGAGCAGTATGTCCTTTAGTAATAAAACCAATTTGAAAATGCGACTTCCTATTATGCATGCTGGATGTCTTTGAATGAAACTAACTAGAGTGACAACTTCCGAATACTATGAACTTTAAAAAGTAGTATCACAATTCTTAACAGCAAATTAGTGTTATCTAACTTACTTATATCCAAGTGTAGACAATTCCCTTTTCATTGTTATCAACTGTGATTGCATAGCCAATGTCATAGCTAACTGATGACCAACATCTTCTAAACTTACTGCTTTAGCTGGAGGTTTATCATCTGACAGTTGTTGCAAACGATCTATTTGATAATTGATAAAACTTTCATTTGGATAGGTTGTTAATCGTGTAACATTGTAAGAATTTGAAGAGATTGGATCTGATGTTGCAATGAGTTGATTCGTTGTTGAAATTCCTGTTATTGTAGCTACTACTACTGATGACTGACTAATGACACTTAATCGTTTCCACCAAGACTGTAAGTCATTTAGTATAAATGTAGCGACTGAATTCAACGAATCAATGTAAGCTTTGAAACGATTCAACTGATCATCTAGTCGACTCTATATTAATAAAATAAGAAAAATTTCGAATCCAAATCATAGACAAACATCAAAGATATGTTTGCTTAGAAATAGTTATTTCCTAGTTATAAGTTTCGACACTATGGAATTCCTGAGATGATTGTCAACATCATCCGGAACTCATGAAACGGACTATAGTGCAAAGTCGTGCAGAGAGGACAGCTGACAGATGCTTTCCAAGTAAGGACCGGAGTCAGACAAGGCTGAGTAGCCTCACCCTTACTCTTTCTTCTCGTGGTCGACTGGATTATTAAAACCTCGACATCTGAGGGAAAACACGAAATACAATGGACAGCTCAGAACCAATTAGACGATTTGGACTTCGCAGATCACCTAGCAATCCCATCGCATACACACGAACAAATGCAGATAAACACAGTCAGAGTAGCAGCCGTCTCTGCATCAGTAAAACTAAACATACACAAGGGGAAAACCAAGATCCTCAATTACAACACGGAGAACACCAATCCAATCACACTTAATGGCAAAACTCTGAAAGATGTAGAATCCTGCACGTACCTGGGAAGCATCATCGATGAACAAGGAGGATCATATGCAGAGGTTAAGGCCGCATTCCTACAACTGAAGAACATATGGAACTGAAAACAACTGTCTGTCAACCAATATCAAAGTTAGAAACTTCAATACGAACATAAAGGCAGTCAGTTCTACTGTACGGAGCTAAAACTTGGAGAACTACAACAACCATCATCAACAAGGTACAAGTATTTATAAATAATTGTTTGCGCAAGAAACTGAATGTTCTTTGACCAGGTATTATCAGCAACAACCCACTATGGGAGTGAACAAATCAGCTTCCAGTTGAAGATGGAATTAGGAAAACACGATGAAAATGGATAAGATATACATTAGGCAAATCATCAAACTGCATCACGAGATAAGTGCAAACTTGGAATCATGAAGAGTAGCGGAAAAGAAGAAGGCCAAAGAACACATTACGTCGGAAAATAGAATCAGGTGTGAAAAGAATGAATAAGAACTAGAAAGAGCTGGAAAGGATTGCCCAGGACAGTTTTGGATGGAGAATGCTCGTGGTTGGACTGTGTCCTCCACGAGGAGTAACAAGCTTAAGTAACTATGTAAGTAGTTATAAGTAATCTGGAAATTTTTTTAAGAAAAAACCCTTATTTCTAAAGAATTCTTCAGAAACAATAAACCATAAATATACAAACTTGTGTATGTTGTACCAAGTTCAAATTTTTTATAATATTAGCTTAAGTATGTATATTAATAAATGTAACGAAATCTTTGAATAATGAATTCTAAATATGTTCCATATTATATTATAAAAAGTAAGTAACATGGATCAAACTATGCTTAAATCTGCTTTATTATTAACTTAACATAAAGAAAACAGTTTTACATACCTTGATAGATTGTGCATTAGAATGTATATTAATATAACTTGTTTCAATCTCTTTATTTCTTTCTAAAGCATCTAAAATAATTCTATCCAATAGTTTTTCATCATTTGAACTATTCAATAAATATTTCCAATTATCAACTGTACTATGATCAATTGGAATTTCTCGATATGGACATGTAACAGATTCACAAATTCTATTAGTTCTTGATATTGTTGTTTGATCTTTAGTTATATTATGAATAAGTAGATGAACTAATTGATGTGTATTCTCTAAAAGACTTTTGCCTTCTTTATTAATTTCTTTCATTAATTGATCAATTTGAATTGTTGAATCTTGATAAGCAGATAAATTTCCTGTTAGATTGCTGTTAGCATTATTATTTCCAGCTGACATAAGACGAAAATTTATACCACTCAACCATCGTTCAGTTGTTTGTGCTGAGTCACGAAATGCAGAATAGTTTTGTTGAATAGTATTAATCCAGGTGGCAAATCGCTAGAAAAAAATAGAAAAATGATAACAAATAGGCATTTGGTATTCTTGATGTACTATTTACATTTTTTATTAGTGCCTAAATGTCTTCTGTACATTAAAAAAAAAATAGTGTACTTAACATTTGCAGTGTTTGAAGGGAATAAACGTGACTGAGATAACAAGCCGATCTCTGTTCAGTTGTATAATGCCTAGCAATAAGTATGGAATGAATGGTTTATTATACTCCAATATATTTTTACTCCGTCGATATAGGTTCTAATTTCTTCTACTTTTCTTCTACTAACACGTTCTATGCTACTAACATTACTGGTCAAGTAAATTCTATAAAAATATTGTAATAAAAATGATCACTGGTAGTAGTAGTAGTAGTGTAAATAATACTAAAATACCTACGTACTATAAAAAATCAAGAATAATATAATAAATTTACTTGAATTCTTCCTTTCATTTCGGTAAATCTTCCGGTCAGTTGATTAAATTTATTTGTCTGGCTATTTATCTTAGTAGTATCAGGTATATTCTCACAAAATTGTTCATATTTTTGTGAATATTCATTAAGTTCTTTATTTAAGGCCTGTACAAGACAAATTTTGCACACAAAAAAAAAATAACACTGAATTAATACTTTAATGTGAGGAAATACTTAAAAGGATTACTTATCTAAAAATTTATTTGGAAAAACCTTATAATCATAAGTGGTCACTAAAATAGACATTGGTCACCACTCAGTGATCAATCAATTGTGATTACATCTCAGTCCTACAGGAGGTCAGTTGCGATCCGGATAGCCCAGTGGTAACATCTCTGATTGTGAAGCTGGGCGACACGGGGTCAAATCCATCAGGGAGAACTAGTTCCTTCAAGATTACAGTTACACATTGCTGATGACTGCCAAATAGCACGAAACCCGTGTACAAGGTTTCCTATTGGCTACCTCCAACCACCATCTAATCTCAACATAGTGCACATAATGTCGAGTCACTTAGATTAGTGGCTACATTGCAAAATGGTCGATAGCATTCGATCTGCACTAAGAAGGACCTGACATACATAACATTGATCACCACCCAGTGATCAGTCAATGGTGTACAGTAGTCTTTACATAAGCGATGCATTAAATATTTATTTGGTGTAAATAATCACGTAGTCTACTGATCAAGCTATACAATAACAATTTCGGTTGTCCCACAGTATTTGAAATCTTTCTGTAGCTCTTCTAAGGTTACTGCCTGTCTCAAGGAGGATTGTTAGGTATGGAGTCAGCTACTTCATCCCGTAGAAAACAAACTTGCTAAACAAAAAACGCTTACCAGAATGAACATTATTTAAAAGTAACTGAAAGATAAATTGTCAGTTGAACCTACCGTTATTTGTTGAATGTAAGTATTCCAGTTGCTTTCATTAAACTTAGTAGATTCATGAATTAGCGGCCTTATATTTTGTTCATTTGTCTCTGTTTGATTTACCAACATGCCTGATTCTAAAATATTTAACTTTTTCTCTGTTTTATCTATCCAACTGCGTAAATCATTGTATAATTCAGACAGATTTTTCTGTTCATTGACCAGATGATTTAATTTTTCTTGATACTAGTTATTTTTAACAGAGAGTTTAATAATGTTATGTAATTCGTTAGACAGATAATTACAAACATTAGATTGTGTTCATAAAGTAAATTGAATTAAGTGAGTGTTCACTGAAAATCTTTAATCTAACAAAGAATGAATTTAAACATACGCCATGTTTACTGAAACATTCATCATCCGGAACTCGTACGACGGACTACACTGAAAATTCTTACATGAAGGACAGCTGACAAACGCATTCTAAATAAGGATCGGTATCATATAAGGATGTTTAATCTCTCCTCTATTCTCTTTCTCCTAATGGTTGACTGGATTATGAAGATCTCCATATCTGACGGGAAGCACGGAATACAATGGATAGCTTACATTGAACTAGACGATTTTGATTTTTTAGATGACCTGATCCTTCTAACCCGTACACACCAACAAATTCAGGTAGCATCCTTTGTATCAGTAGGTTTCAACATAAATGGGGAAAAATCAAGATTCCCAAATGCAACACGGAGAACACCAACACAATCACACTTAATGGAGAAATTCTGGAACAGGTGGAAACTTTCATGCACCTGGACATCATAATCGATGAACAAGAAGGATCCGATACAGATGTAAAGGCAAGGATCGGTAAACAAGGGTACCGCCCCTACAACGGAAAAACCTGTAAAGCTCAAAACAATTGTCTGCATCCGGCTGACGAGTCCGAAATGAGACGAAACGCGCATCATGGATTCCAATGATAGCCACTATCCATCTTTTCTTAGAATGCTTGTGAATTAAGGCACATATGCCAATAAGAGACCTATCAATCGCATTTCTAAACATCAATGGGAAAATTTGAGTAAACAATAACAAGTGAATTCAACGATGTGGTTAGAAAATATTTAAATTGTCTTACAGTTTTTAGTTAATTGTTTCTGTTTAACCAGATTGGTACATTGCCAATTAAAATCCTAGAATACTAACTATGATTGGTTTGGTTTTACCGGTCTTGGTACTGTATGATATATTGTTTAACCAGGTTAAATCACAGATGATTAACAAGAATAAACCATTAACATGAGTACATTAGTTGATTAGGTTAGTTACATAGAAATAATCAATAAAGTTGAGATAATCACTGAAAAATAATCATATTTAAAGCAATGAATAATAGATTTTCATTAGGTTCCAGTCATGTCTCGTAGGACATTCAGTTAAAAGAACTAACTTTATCCAGGAAGTTAATACTGAAGTTCTAGTGAAGAGATTTTGCTTTTTGTTACTTTATCTCTAGCTTTAATGTTTGATAGTGAACAATATTCATTCAGAATTTCACTCACTTCTGTTATTTGTTGATTGATTTCATTAAACTCTTTTCTAAATTCATTTAATTGTTGTTTAGCTTTAGATCCAACAGTTTCTGTTTGTAAATTGTTGATTTCATTTTGATTAGTTGAAAGTTGAAGTTGATTATCGTAGCCTGTAAACACAGGTGTATTTACAGAATCGTTAATATCTAATTGACTTGAATGTGTCATAAACATTTGATTCATAGTTAATGCTGCAGTTGATGAAGCTCGACAAATTCGATCTGCTCTATCACTAAGCTCTAGAAGTTTTGGTTGAGAAGAACGTAATTTTTCACGTATACTCTAATAAAAAAAAACACCAATTATCGACTGAGTTATTTATTAGATAAAGCAAGAACAAATATTGATGCAGAATAGTATGAATTCATAATATATCGAGGTTTCTCGTCAGCTGCTTACAACCAAATATGTGATAAGCTTTTTACATTGAGATAGTGTAAAACAATTGGCATAAATGAATGTACATGATTAGAATGACAAAGATTTACAATAATAACTATATATATATGCTAGAACAGGTCAGAGGTTAATTGGTGTTAAAATTAAGGAGACAATTAAAGATGGGAGATGTAATAGTTGAATGGAGTTTGTAAATTGTGTGATAATTATTTTAGAGGTATTAGAACAGTGATAAGATAGGTTACATAATGATTGAATAAAATTTGAACAGTTAAGATAATCTAACAGTATCAGTGAGGCGGAAATATGTGGATAAAAATTGGTTTAAGAATTAAGTTATGAAGGATGGGGTGCGGAGGATAACACAAAATAATTTTTTTTTAAATAAATAAGTGAATCAAATAACACACACACACAAATGGATTACCAGGGTAATAATAAGTTAATTAGTGTCTCTTTTTGAATGCATAAATCCGGTTTAAGTTTTTTATTGCGATCGCTTCCGCAAAGCGGAGAGTAGTAGTACTTCTTTGTCTGTTGATAATTTTAAAAGCGTGCGAAATATCGATGGTATGCCCGGTGTCAAGTAAATACCGAGCTATTGCACTGTTAAGAGCCTTAGTCCCTCGCAGACTCAAGTTCTTTGGAATATGCTCCGAAATGTGAACATGAACTCTTCTCTCAGTTCTTCCAATGCATGTGCTTTGGCACGTACATGTGAATTGGTAAATGCAGTTGGAGCAACTAAGAAAAGAGGACTTGTCGATTATAGTTTGTTTAAGTGAGCAATTCGTTTTCCATACTGTTGTTAATTTTGCTGCTGGGTAGGCAACTTTCAACGCTGAATTTAGTCTGTGATTAATTAAACCAGCAATTTCATCTCCTTTTAAACGTAGATATAAGAAGCAAGGTTTCTTTTCAACTCTATCGTACTTTGTTTGAGGGTTGGTTTTTGCATGTTTGTGAATAAATTTCAACGGGTATGCATTTTCTCGTAGAACATTAGTGATGAGAGTAATTTTATCATCCAGGCATTCCTTTGAACAAATTTTGCGAGCGCGGTCAACAAGATTAAACTTTCTGTTACGTTGCTTAAATGATGGACATTTTCCTCGTCATATTATTAAAGCTGTCCATGCTTGTAAAATACCTCCTTCCTTAAAAAAACTTCGACGCGTCACTAAATCCCGAATTGAATGTACTAAAGAACTTATTTCCAAACTTAAAACAGAATCACTTCGATATGACAAAATTGTTATGGATTTAAACATTGTATGTAGAATTAAACTCATGAATTTCATTCACGATGTTCAATCCAAAACCAGTCATAAATTCTTAAAGACATTAACCAAAACACTTGTAAAAGAACAAAAACATAACACCTTCCCTATGAATCCAGGAAAATACGTACAGAATCTTTCTAGTAAAAAACTAACTCGAATCGAATCTGAGGCACTCTCCCTCGGATTTAAATTTCATATTCCGAAGAAATGTAACAGAATAGACACAGAAACTCAGTTTGAGTATTTATATCAACAATTGTCAGAACTCAAACCCACGAATGATGAAAAACATAGTTGGTTAAAATCGAAATTAGTTGATATTACAAACCAGTACATAACGACACCAACCCCACAATCGAAGGTGTTAACTAAAGATCACCAACTAGCAATAAAAAAACTTATGAAAGATGAAACAATATTGCTACTTCGTCCTGATAAAGGTTCAGGGGTAGTCGTTCTTAACAGAGATGAATACATCAACAAATTAATGTCTACTTTAAATGATTCCACTAGATTTATCGTCGATAATACCCAGAAAGACTTAACGGAGACAACGGAGAAACGCCTCGTAAAAAAATTGAGAGAACTCCTGAAGAAAAATCTAATTGATAATCATACATACAACGAACTTAAACCCAAAGGATCACAATTACCATACTTATATGGCCTACGCAAAACTCATAAGCCCGACATCCCGATAAGACCAATATTATCCATGACCAATTCGCCGTTCCACAAACTTTCTCGCTGGCTGACAAAATGCCTAGAACCAATCCGAAAGAAAATAGCGCCCTACAGTCTAAAAGACAGTTTTGAATTCGTGCAAAAACTCGACAACCTAAATGTTTCTGACAAATTTATGGTTTCATTTGACGTCTCATCACTCTTCACAAACATCCCCTTGGAAGAAACGGTTGAAATCATATGTAAATATCCTGAACTTCTACCTCTACCAGCCCAGGATTTTAAACAGCTCTTTTTTAAGTACCAAAAACATACAATTTCAATTTAGTAATGTCTTTTACCGCCAAATTGATGGAGTTGCTATGGGTAGCCCGTTGGGCCCAATTCTCGCTGATATATTTATGGGATACCTGGAACTAAATAAGCTTAAGCACGCGATTGACGATACTACATTCTACTGTAGATACATCGATGATACATTTCTCGTCTGTAACAATCATAAGCACGCCATTAGACTACTTGATCTGTTCAATAAAGCACATAACAATATAGAATTTACTATGGAAAAGGAAGTTGAAGGTAAATTCCATTTCCTTGATATTGGGATCAGACGAACATCTGATGGCACATTAAACAGACACATTCATCATAAAAATACTTGGTGTGGACTATATCTCAATTACTACAGTTTTTGTCCAATGAGTTACAAAAAGGGATTGATACGAACCCTTTTTGACCGCGCTCGCAAAATTTGTTCAAAGGAATGCCTGGATGATAAAATTACTCTCATCACTAATGTTCTACGAGAAAATGCATACCCGTTGAAATTTATTCACAAACATGCAAAAACCAACCCTCAAACAAAGTACGATAGAGTTGAAAAGAAACCTTGCTTCTTATATCTACGTTTAAAAGGAGATGAAATTGCTGGTTTAATTAATCACAGACTAAATTCAGCGTTGAAAGTTGCCTACCCAGCAGCAAAATTAACAACAGTATGGAAAACGAATTGCTCACTTAAACAAACTATAATCGACAAGTCCTCTTTTCTTAGTTGCTCCAACTGCATTTACCAATTCACATGTACGTGCCAAAGCACATGCATTGGAAGAACTGAGAGAAGAGTTCATGTTCACATTTCGGAGCATATTCCAAAGAACTTGAGTCTGCGAGGGACTAAGGCTCTTAACAGTGCAATAGCTCGGTATTTACTTGACACCGGGCATACCATCGATATTTCGCACGCTTTTAAAATTATCAACAGACAAAGAAGTACTACTACTCTCCGCTTTGCGGAAGCGATCGCAATAAAAAACTTAAACCGGATTTATGCATTCAAAAAGAGACACTAATTAACTTATTATTACCCTGGTAATCCATTTGTGTGTGTGTGTTATTTGATTCACTTATTTATTTAAAAAAAAATTATTTTGTGTTATCCTCCGCACCCCATCCTTCATAACTTAATTCTTAAACCAATTTTTATCCACATATTTCCGCCTCACTGATACTGTTAGATTATCTAAACTGTTCAAATTTCTTAAAGTTACTCCACTATCCTGTAGTTTAGAATTTTAGTTTAAAGTGTAGAGGAACTTCCCTTTAATAAACAACTCTCTGTTTCAGCTTTTGCATTTGCAATATTTTCCTAGCCCACATATATATGATAATTAACACTGTAATCATCTTATAATGAAATATATGTAGTTTAGCTTTCCTGAAATTTTAGTATATCAGAAGCAACTTTGCAATTTAAATTTCTTATCTCAGAGAAATCATTAGACAGAACTATCATCAAGTGCACGTTATTCAAAGATTTCGAGTGGATAACTACACGCAGAAATCACAACATAATTCAACTAGAAATTTATTGTTATAACGTGTGATCCGCCTATTAGAGAGCAGCCTATTATCGATCGAAACAGTGACGCACAAAATACGACCGAGCAGCCTAGAGCTCTGATTGGTCCTGCTTCCCTGTCTAGCCCAGCCAATTGAGTCCAGAACACAAGTCTCAGCCTCGGAGATATGAATCATTATATTTCAAACATACTCTGTTTATATAGCAATTAAACAGACTACATCGTACCATAAATAGAAAGTAACATTGTACAAGATTTAACCTTCAGGAAATGACACAAATAAATATTGACCAATAAGGAGATGACACGTTGGAAGAATGTTGACCAATGGGGAAATGACACTACTTCTCATTCAGGAATAGCATTAGATAATTTCTGGGGTATTTTCTGAATACCCCAACATTTATAATTATTCCTTTCAGATTATCTTAATTTCCATAAATATTGTGCATTAAACAGTCTACATGAACTATTTAACAAGCAAGTTGACAACCACTAAAGTCATATGGTCCACAACTTATAAAAGTGAAATTTTTGATATTGTCCTATCAATATACTTAATATATCATAATCATTTGTTACATGGTTCGTTCATTTTTGATCTCGCAGAAATTAGTTACGAAAGCAAAGAGGCTTTTACATTTTTCTTTGCATAGTGAGTCATCTCAGTCGAATATAACATGTTACAACGTACATCCTCAGTAATTTCTGGAGCTGATTTGAATCTCAGATATTTCTAGGTAAACATTAATAACCCAAGGATCTATATTTTTTAATAGCTATTATTTCTTAACGAGGTTTATCTGCAACTTTGATGGTGTTTTAAACCCATAATATTGCGTTCCATAATTTAGACATCAGCACTAACATATTTAGATCACGACTTACCTCCATTAAGACTGAGATTGAAATGTAACATAAAATATGTAAGATTCTGAATATCTGACATACCCATATAAGCTAACCATTTTTATGATAATTGTAATATCTTAGTGAAGATAACATTACGAGTAACTTCTGAAACCTATTGATGGACTAATATTATATATATTCTTTTGGTATAACTATTTAGTAATTAGTTTATGTATATTTATGTTCCTCTTATTATAAGCTTCGTTTTGACCTATAGACTATTATTATGCGATTTACTGGTCATAAGATATGTTCAGTTCATTGATTACAGTCTCTCACGTTCACAGCCATTTTTTGGCTTGATCTTGTATAATTGTTATTTCCTATTTTATGGTGTGACGCGGACTGTTTGGTCGATATATAAACCCAGTATGTCTGAAATAAATGGTTCGCATAGTGGAACCTAGTATTGGTGTTCTGCACTCAGTTGGACGGGTTGAGAGAAAAAAGGATCAATAAGGGCTCTAGGCTGATCAGACCGGTCGAACGTCATTGCTTTAGTATAGTACAAGAGTGAATAAATCGTATTTTGATTGGCGAATAAAGTACGTGATAACTAGCGGGCCAAAAAGACACAACACTAAAAAATATTTTTTGTTTTATACTAATGATTAGAAAAAATGTATTTCTGACTTTTCGTGACTTAATATAGATCGTCTCTTCAGGGTAGTGGCTTACATAAAGTCTCGAAACCTTAGAAATACAATTTTTCTATTCATTAGTATATAATATATATATATATATATATATATATATATATATATATATATATATATATATATATATATATATATATATATATATATATATATATATATATATAAACCTTCTACCCAGTGCTCAATTTTTTGAAAATATTGAGTTCAACTTTCTGGTTAGTGGTTTTTTAGCGAGTTAGTTTTCTACGGGATGGGGTCGCTAACCTATGCCCAACCCTCTTCCTTTATCTGTGCTTGGGACCAGCAGTAGCCTCAGACGGGCTCCAGATGGATACGTATAAACTCACCTTTTTTGTAAGTATAACATTAATTTTTTTATGGTTGTAAAGTGATCTTTAATTTGAATAAACTCCAAAATAAAATTATCATAATGAACTCCACTATTTTGATAACCATTTGAAAAGATTTAAATAAACTCACTGTAATTGTATTCAAATGATTCTCAGATAAATTTACATTCTGTTCATTTGTATTGATACTTTTTAGTTCTGTTGTTAAAGTATCGAGGAAATTTCTAATATTATTACACAATACTTGAAATTCTCTATTTTCCATAAATACAAGTTGAAGTTTGGATAAAACATCCTAAAGTAAAAAAGATATTGAATTAATTAACAATTGGATGTTTATATAAAACTAGTTTAACAGACATACATCTTGAACACTGATTGACATTTATGTATTTATTTATTTGAACACATAAATACTGGTGCAAGAGGGCACCAGATACATATGCACCACATAGATCTTATTTGATTTTATGTGAGGGCTGTGATACTGCCCGGGTGTCTAAACCGAAGCAGGTGGTTGTCTTAGGGGGCCACATTTGGAGCCTTTGACCTCAAGGTCTGATTCACAAGGCAGTGGAGCAACTTTAGTAGATGAAGTCATATGGTAGCTGGTGACTAACAATTGGTTCATGTGCCTTTTGTTCCCTCGGGGTACTGGAGCCCATGTGCACCAATGGTTTGAATTCAGGGTTTTCCAACTCCCCTAGATGGACTTTCCGTGTCCACCAACCCATTTAAAGCACCGGACATTCGCTTTTCGTCCTCTCAATTCCGTAAACAACACCCCCGCCATGAGAAGGCAGTGAGTAGGACATCCCTAGCAGAGACTATATACGCGTGGCCATGTGAGAGCATTTAGAGAGGGAGAGCAGACCCTTCTCACTCTCGGCCGTGCCAGGGTATTTGAGGGTGCACTGATTGAAAATTGAAAATAAGTAGAAATCTTTTAGAAACTATGTAAATACTTGAAGAAAAAAGTGTAATAACACAGTATGATATGATAAACATCTGAAAAAAAGTAATCATCAATAATTCTTTTTCACTTTTTATTAAACTTTTGACTGTTAAGCAACGTTTAGTTGTTGTATGACGTATTCCCATCTTTACTTAACAACAAAATAGTTTCTAGAAACTACAAATTATCTTTTGCTAAATATTCCTGATATTTTCACATGAACAATATAGGAGGTCTATTTCGTTATTGATCATTAACAGATTTTTAAGTCAAGAATTTTTGGAAACAAATAATGATTATATTTTCATTGAGATCATGAACCGACGAGTGTTAGATCACCGTTTTAGTATGGACCCTTAGCAGTGTGCATCCACGATCCCGTGTGCGGGACCTTTAGGTCTCATGAGAGAACGCCCAACCTCTAAACCACTCAGCCGAATCCCGCGTGGGGGATCGTGGATGCGCACTGTTGAGGAGTTCTGTACAAGGACGAAACGGACATCCAGTGCTTCCGGATTTTCAAAGGTGGTCTAACATTCTTTGATTTATGGTCTCAACCGAAACTTAACAATCTCCAGAACCCCACGCTTATAATAATTATATTACTAGTTATTATAATATCAGTAATATTGATATAATAAATATCAATTGATTGACATATGAAAACCATATTAATCTGACGGCTTATGTATAGTTTAATGACAAGTAATGCAAACTAATTTACCTAAGCACAAAATCTTATTCAAATATTTCACAAAGATCGGTGAATAAAACAATAAGATTAGAAATTACTCATATTTGACAAATAAGAAACATTACTATAATATCCATTGACGCTTTATACAAATGATCTAATGATTTTAATACAATAATAGAAGATATATATCTGGTGGCAATGTACGTCAGAGACAAAATCTAACTAGACAAAAATTAAAAGTCATGGAGCATTGTTCAGTAGTTGAATGGGATCGTTTGGTAGAGTACATTCACGACCCCTATGGAATAAGAGATATTTCTCTAATTGATTGACATCAAAAAATTGTGAAATAGTTTATTTTTAACTCAATAAGTGGATGTTATCGTTCACACAGATTGATTTGAAGATCTTGGATCCGAACCTATATGACGTCTAATTTATACACTGTTTTTTATATCTTAAGCCAAACAAAACCGTTTTACAATATTTTTTGAATTCCAGCGATTACTTAACTGATGTCTTCTTAAAATGACCATTTTATTTAAGCTTAAATTAATTGGGTAAGTAATGCGGGTGAGACTAATTTATGGACAAACTTTGAGCGATGCAAGACTGACCTTGAGAGTGTTCACCTGATAACTAGGATCAAATGAGGGTCATAAACCAGTGTGAGGAATTAGAATTAGGATTTAGAGTTGATGGTTATGGTTAAAAATTAGATTTAGGGTTTTCATCACGAACTAATATCAGTTATAATCCCAGAACTCTATTTATCCAAATGGATGAATGAATTTCTCGCCGAAATCCGAGACTTGTTATCTTATACCTGATTCATTCGTCCATAAACTATAGTCTCACCATAACGTGAACATTTACTAAATTTAAATGAACATAGCTGTAATGCTTTCCGGAAGTTGAAAGCTACATTGTCGAAAGAACAACATAAATCTTTTATCAAAGCTGGACAAATTTATTTGAAAATTAGTTCATTTAACTTGTGATCAAGAACAAAACTAAGCTAATAGAAAATAAACTATAGACAATATTTAATGTAACAAGCTGCTTAGCATTAAAACAATGAATTAGAATTAAATATGATGTGTTCAGGATTATAATTAATTATTTTTCAAAATAGGATGAAATGGTTATTTAATGGATCGTAATTTTTTAAACAGTTCTGAAGTCTACTTCATCTAGGTATAAGAAAAATTTTTATCCCCTAGATAGCATATTAATGATACTAAGCAAAGTTGGATAGTAGATAGCAGTGGAATCCAGGACGCGCGTCTCGTCCTATTTGGGACTCATCAGCTGGGTGTACTTGCATCCCAGAGTTGATGTTCATTCTGGGACTCGAACCCAGTACCACTCGCTTCAAACGCCATTGCATTACCCACTTAACTACTGAGTCCTGGTAGCCCCCTGTTTGTGCAATGAAGTGAATTTTAAATTCACTTGGTGTTGTTTTACTTGTATCTTTCCATTGTTATTTAGGACTGCAGGTACAGGATGCACATATGCAAACATGAGACTGATCAATAGCAGTCCTAAATAACATTGGGAAGATATAAGTAAAACACCACCAAGTGAATATTAATGATATGCTAGCAGAAAATGAATAGATCAAATACAGTCTCAAGATTATGTTATATAATGTGCCAAGTGTGATTGTTATACTCTAAATAAGTGAATTATTCATATGATTCAAATCATGGATTGATTATTTTTGCCATTCGAAAAATTTATCAATACATACAATCTCTAAACATCAATATTTGTCGTTTGACTTTAAATCTTCCCGTGTAGTCTGTTATATCCTAGTGAAGATAACATTACGAGTAACTTCTGAAACCTATTGATGGACTAATATTATATATATTCTTTTGGTATAACTATTTAGTAATTAGTTTATGTATATTTATGTTCCTCTTATTATAAGCTTCGTTTTGACCTATAGACTATTATTATGCGATTTACTGGTCATAAGATATGTTCAGTTCATTGATTACAGTCTCTCACGTTCACAGCCATTTTTTGGCTTGATCTTGTATAATTGTTATTTCCTATTTTATGGTGTGACGCGGACTGTTTGGTCGATATATAAACCCAGTATGTCTGAAATAAATGGTTCGCATAGTGGAACCTAGTATTGGTGTTCTGCACTCAGTTGGACGGGTTGAGAGAAAAAAGGATCAATAAGGGCTCTAGGCTGATCAGACCGGTCGAACGTCATTGCTTTAGTATAGTACAAGAGTGAATAAATCGTATTTTGATTGGCGAATAATTTACGTGATAAAAAGCCACATTTAAAGTCACAAGAGTCTTGATATTCCTTTCTCTATGTAGTTGGTAATCCAAATGCTATAAATCTATTAATAATTCAATTGAATTGTGGTGAATGAGAACCCGAAGGGGGAAAAATCGAATAAATTTGAATACAGCATGAGAGAACCATGTGAGAACCACATAATAATTACTTCATTTACAAAATATCAATCAATCGTCTTCAACTTCATTATTCCTTCGTTTCTACACTAATCATTCTCTGATTTCGTTCTCTTTCTTCAATCTTCTTAAAGTTCTGCCACCAGATATTTTACTTTCGATTGATGATACATACTGCTTATAGTTATCAATATCAGTAACACATTTTATTAAAAATATTTTTTCATTGTTACAAATCTTGTTATTATTACTTACCTCACAACTTTTAATTAAGCTATGATATTGAGCTAATACTTGATTTAAAGAATTTTTCACACCAGATTCATTAGTTCTTTGTTGAATTGATTCACATAAACTATTTAATTTTGTTAACTCAGATTTTTGAGACATTAATTCACTTTGAAATACCTGACATTAAAAATACAAACAAAAATAATATTAGAAGGGGTTCTGTGGATATTATAGTAATTTCAATGATCGGGAGTGAGTTAAACTAGACCATCATGGAAAACCTGGAAGCACTGGACAGCTGTTTCGTCCTACTGTGGGACTCCTCAGTAGTGCGCATCCACGATCCCGTCTCGCGAGATTCGAAACAAGGACATATATATACAACGGACTATAGTGCAAAGTCGTGCAGAGAGGACAGCTGACAGATGCTTTCCAAGTAAGGACCGGAGTCAGACAAGGCTGAGTAGCCTCACCCTTACTCTTTCTTCTCGTGGTCGACTGGATTATTAAAACCTCGACATCTGAGGGAAAACACGAAATACAATGGACAGCTCAGAACCAATTAGACGATTTGGACTTCGCAGATCACCTAGCAATCCCATCGCATACACACGAACAAATGCAGATAAACACAGTCAGAGTAGCAGCCGTCTCTGCATCAGTAAAACTAAACATACACAAGGGGAAAACCAAGATCCTCAATTACAACACGGAGAACACCAATCCAATCACACTTAATGGCAAAACTCTGAAAGATGTAGAATCCTGCACGTACCTGGGAAGCATCATCGATGAACAAGGAGGATCATATGCAGAGGTTAAGGCCGCATTCCTACAACTGAAGAACATATGGAACTGAAAACAACTGTCTGTCAACCAATATCAAAGTTAGAAACTTCAATACGAACATAAAGGCAGTCAGTTCTACTGTACGGAGCTAAAACTTGGAGAACTACAACAACCATCATCAACAAGGTACAAGTATTTATAAATAATTGTTTGCGCAAGAAACTGAATGTTCTTTGACCAGGTATTATCAGCAACAACCCACTATGGGAGTGAACAAATCAGCTTCCAGTTGAAGATGGAATTAGGAAAACACGATGAAAATGGATAAGATATACATTAGGCAAATCATCAAACTGCATCATGAGGCAAGCCATAACTTGCTATCGTAAAGAGAAATGGAAAAGAAGAAGACCAAGGAACACAATACATTGGGACTTATAAGCAGACACTGAAAGGAAAAATAACAATTGGAAACAACTCGAAAGTATTGTCGAGGACAGAGTTGGATAAAGAATGCTGGTAGGCGGCGTATGCTCCTCCACGAGGAGTAACAAGCGTAAGTATATATATATATATATATATATATATATATATATATATATATATATAAAAGAAATCTTGAACTAAATAATAATAATAATATATTACTTGATAATTTTGAATAATTTCATCAAGTGGATAATAAATATCAATAATTAATTGTTTATTTTTTTCATTCATTAATTGATTAATTGATATATTATTTATATCATGTATTGATTGTTGATTAATTTTTTTAATTTTTATTAAATGATTAATAAACGATTGTTTAAAATAATTCAATTTATCATTTAATTGATTTAATTGATTAATTAAATTATTTAAATCATTTTTATAATCAATAATATGTCTAATTAATTGTTCTATAGAATTTTGTATCTGATTAATTTCATCAATAATTATTGTATGATTAATATTTAATTTTAATAAATCATTATCTAATTCATTTAATAATTGATTAACATTTTCAGCTGTTATGGATGATGTTTTAGTTATATCATTAATATAATTATGTAATAGATCAATTTTTATATGAGATTGTTTTAATAATTGATCCATTAGAAATGATGATGATGTAATAGATTGTAATTCATTTTTTTCAATATTATTAATTAATAATAACTGTGTATCAATTGAATAATTTGTTTTCCAATATTCAGATTTAGTTGAATCACTTTTAGATGGATATGGGGATATTCTAATTGGATCCTTTGAAAATATTGATTTTTTTTTAAAAAAAGAAATGGGAAAAGAAAAATACTGTTTCATGTAAGGGGGGAACATATATATCTCTATTTATATAGGTAAATAGGGGTATTTATTATTTTAAAAGAAAACTGAAAATATTAGAATTATATTACTTTGAAAATATACTATGTTAAAAAGGATGAAATGATTATCCAGTGTATTCAGGGTTTTCTATGGTGGTTTAGCTTTAATTGACTCATGATTTCAACTATTATAAATTACTGTAATATCCACAAAAACTATTTGTGATATTTAGCTGTTATAATATTCATAATGAGTAATATGAATTATTTTTTCAATCGTTTTAAAACTTATAGTAATTTCAATAGTTGAGATCATGAGTTACTAGTGACTGGTTTCAAGAGATATTTCCTGGAGTTGTAGGAAGAAGCAATGACTAGTGGAGTTTAACCGGGTCTATTGTGAGATAGTAACTCACTGAAGACAGTAGTGGATGTGTTGCTCAATTTCGTGGATTAGTTGAAATTAAACATTGACATCGCTGGATGCCGGCCTAGCGATCTAGTGGTTAAGCGTTCAGGGGTGATACTTATAGGCCATACTAGGACAATTCGGTCGTCTAATGCTTCCGAGTTATCAATAATGATTTAGTTTAAATCAACTCATAAATTCAACTTGCCAAGTTTGAAGCGGTTACGAGTTCGCTTAGACTGCGAACAGAAACAAAAAATCGGTGACCAAAGACGAACAAGCAAGCTATTCGATGCGACGCAGCCCCGCTTACCAGAGAAAGAATTCCAAGCTTGGAATAGGGGAAGTATTTTTCGCAAACAGCCATAAACGAGCGATAAGAACAAACAAATCAAAACGTATATATACAGCACAAAACCGTCCTTGGGGAGAGTTACAAAAATAGCATACTAAAAGACACAACGGACCAATAGTATTTAAGATATTTCCCATGTGGGAAATACGACATGTAGGTGAAAAGAGCGTTTTTGGTGCAAAAACAAAGAAATTCAAATTTTCTAAATAAAATTACAAAGTCAAGTTTTTTTTCAAGTGAGTTCTGGGGATCTAACCTTCCCAACACAACTATCAAAACATTAACACAATCTCAACAAACCTCTGTTCTGATAAAAACCTATTTTAATCCATAGAACAAAAAAAATTTAATACCAAATCCTATATTGAAATATATATTTATCGATAATAGTCAACGAACTATTGATTATGAAATATGTAAAAAGTTGTTAATCAGTTTTGAAAGAGTATTTAAAGAAAATATTTGCTTCATTTCATTTTATTACATCTATTTTTATAATAAAACATTCATAACAGTTGGTCAGTCAGCTACAACGTAGGATCAGGCACATATAGGCATCAGTTCGAGTTGCCATACTTCATTAGCACAGTAAGATAAAAACCAGATTCATAGGATTAATTAATTCAATGGTGGTAATATATAAAATAAAGATTGCATATAAGGATATAGTACAGAAACAAAGTAATTTCAATCTCACAGTTTAAGGGAAGACAGTATGTACACACCGACGCCATTGTGATCGATTATGAGCCATATCACCCACAGTCTACAACCGCTACTCGTTACGATATTCACGCGGACCACTATCAAGTAATCTGCATCTACAAACATGGCTCAGACTAGAAGTTATTGATTCCAATGAATGATGCCACGATTTTGTTTGTCCGCCTCTAACTTTATTCCAGCCGTTCCCAACACTAGTCAGTATTGCGCGTCGTGGTAATCGGTATTCAGTTATACGTAACACGTGGCCCAACCATCTCAGTCGATGAAGATTCACAACCTCATCAACTGATATACCATCATTCCCTAATACCCTGCGTCTAACCTCACTCTTACTTACCCGGTGATCCCATTAGATACGAACAATATTTCTAAGGCATCTGTGACCAAATACTAGTAGCTTATGAGTATCTTCTACTCTTAATAGCCACATTTCGCAGCCGTATAGTAGAACGGAACGAACTGCCGCGCAGTATATTCATCCTTTAATTTATAGACGGATATTTCATCTTCGCCAATAGGTAACGTAAGTTGACAAAAGCTAAACGTGCTTTCTGAGTGTTTCTACCTTTAACACCGCATTCAGTAATCGATTATTTTTTAAAATACAATTTAATATAACTAACTTTTCCAACTTGTATTCTAGATAATTGCTCAGATATTTCATCAATCCATTGTTTAGAATTTTTTAAATATATAATTAGTTCTTTTAATTTTAATTTAATACGTTTTAAACAATTTATTATTTCTTCAATTGAATATTGATTTTCTTTCATTTCATCAATTAATAATAATAATTTTTTATCATAGGATTGATTTAAATCTAATTTATTGATTAATTTATTATTATTATTGATTGGTATTAATAATGTTTGTTTTTCTATTAATTCTTTATATAAATCATTTAAATAATCAATAAATTGATTAATTTCAACATCAATTATATTGAATTCATTTAATTGTTTTATATTAATAAATAATTTCGTTATATTTAATTTAATTAGTTGATAACTATTTTTCCATTTTTTAAACCAATTTTCAATTGAATTATATTCTATTTCATAGTTTTTAATTAATTCATTTTGTTTATTTTGTTCATTTTTTATATTATTCATTAATTGTATTATGTATTCATATATTTGTTCAGATCTTTTGTAATGTTGATTTAATAAGTCATTTATTGTTGTATTTATTTCATTAGCTTGTTGTTGTTGGTGGTGGTGTTCTTGTTGTTCATGTTGTTTTAATTGTTCTATCCATTCATGTATTGATTTTAAATATGCTTTACCAATATCTAATTTTAACTGAATTTCATCTATTCTATTATTTTGTTGATGATGATCAATATATTGATATTGTTTTTTCTCGTTATATTCTTGTTTCATTTGATTAATTAGTTGTAATATATCTTTTATCCATATATCTAAGTCTTTATTAGATTGTATTAATCTATTAAAATAAGTTAATTTAATTTGAATTATATTAATATCTTGATTAATATAATTGATTAAATTTTGATTAAACTGTTTAGTATTAATACAATTTTGTTCAATAATATCAAAACCATATATAATAGGATTGATT